ACGTAAACTCTTGGAGAAAGATATACGTAAACTCTGGGGGGTGATGCGTTGATGCTTTTGGAGCGGGTGGTGACGCACTCGCCAACTATACCCTTCAATAGGAACTCGAACAGCTCAAATCCAGAAGATTCTGAAAATGGCCTGGCTCCCTATATGAACCCTGGGAAGACTGGGAAGCGAAGAGGTGGAAACAGCTGGGAGGTCTTGAACTTTTAAGTAAACAAAAGGCACATTCAAGCAGCAGAAGGACAATGTGCATCCTCTGCTCTCGCTTCGCAGACCTTCATTTTTAAGGTGGCCTGAACAGAGTGCTTTAGGGCAGCAAACCCTGGTCTCAGGCCACCTTGAATTTAGCTTGAAAAACTGTCTGTTTTAACAAAAGCCTTGTCACGGAGACACCTCAGGACCCTTGCTTCGCATATCTTCATTTCCGAGGTGGCCTGAACATATAGTTTCGGGCAGCGAGCCTCTGGTCCCAGGCCACCTCGAATTTTGGTGCATTGTTTGGCTTTTGCTTCATCTGAATGTGGATGGGAATTATCTATGTGTGAAGTCGGTCGGGGGTCGGGAGGGGTGGCCCGAGAAAGGTATACGTAAACTCTTGGTGATGTTTTACTGATTTTGGAGCGGGTGGTGATGCAAGAGTGCATTTGTTGCTTTTGCATGGTTACCTATGTGTGGGCAGAACAAGACATGAAGCAGATTTGACACGCGGCCGCAAGCGGCTGCGCGAGCTCATTTGATTGCTTCGACGCGCAGTTGTCGAGAAAGGGAAGCACTGGCTTTCGTTTTGCAGCTTCTCAGGTTTGGCCATTCCAACCCTTCTCTCAGGTAGAGAGCGATTCCATTTCCTTCATGGTCCACGCTGCGCATGCTGGGGCGGAGTTCCCGGGCGATTTCCAGAAGCAGGCGAGGCCCGAGGCCTTTTGGATCTTTTTGGCGGTGTATTCTACAAGGAGTCGCTGACAAGATACTTACTTGTTTATGGAGGGTGTGCCAGCTGTGCCGTCATTATGTACATTGGATATCATTGGATAGATTCTTCATTGTCACGGGTGTGATGTTTTAGTGTGTGTGCCAAACAGGGGCCATGTCGTGGGCGTTGCTCCGGTCGCTATGCACTTCTGAAATGCATTCCACTTGCTTGCCTTCACCGTGCAGCACTGGATGCAGTATGCAGTCAGGTCCAGTGGCCGGACTCAGGAATTGAGCATTTTGAGATATACACCAGCTCTCAAACAAGACCTAGGTAACGTTGTCAATTGTTCCATGAAATAGTATGAAATGGCTGGCTCAGGTGGACAACACTCACTTGGATTGGATTAATTTGGAGATGGTGTCTTATGCTGCATATCAGAATCCAGAGCCTTGCGTGTTTGCTATCGACGTATGGATTTGCTGGTTCATTCACTGAACATTCATCCTTGAAACATACAAACAGGGTTGGAACATGTTTGAATATGGACCATTAGCAGAAGTGTTGGTGCCACAAACGGCCCTAGCATAGCAAGTTGTGTAAACAAAAAACTGCAGGTTGGTGCAGGTCGGTGGTTGTTTTGGACGAGCACCATGTCTCGGACGGCCCTGAGCACCGCCTAGTCTACCACTGTTTTGGATCCGGGTCGGATGCAGCCCGAATGCTTGGGCAGTAGCGGAGTCAGGCGCACACCACATCACGCCAGACTATGTTCAGCATGGCTCAGAAATGTTGGATTAGCAAACACGGGACAATTTTGATATATTGGAAGAGATATGGTGAGTGTTTGTTGGGTGGACATGACAACCACGCAACTAGACTCAAGGAGGAAAAGCCTTTGCGACAAGAATCATAAAACATGCCAAGACGCTTAAACGCAAAAGCAGGCTTTGCTGACAAGAGCTCTATGTACCGCGTTTGCGGCGTTTGTTCTCCATTCCCCTAGTGCCACCGTGGTTCGTGACCCTTTCTCGCCCGGTCGCATCCCTCGGACCTGGGACAGCGAAAGTTCCACCTTCAAGGGGTGGGCATGAGCGCATTTCCCGGCTGAAACGTCACATGGTTTCAATGAATAACCATTGGTTTTGTCAAGTCGGACGATTCGGGTCCATGTTAGTCTTCGGATGTTGGTCTTTTGAGTGTGCATATAGATTTATAGGTATATTATGCATACTAGAGAGGTTAACATGTGTTGTTTGTGTAAGGCATGCAGTATGAACCCCCAATGGTCTTTGAAGTTGAACTGATGAAGTGAAAACTTCCATGAACCAACCCTTATGACCCTTATGAATGAACACCTAACTATTTCAAGAGACCAATGGAAGCCGATGTCAGCTGCCACCTAAGGTGAAGTCGAGCCACTTTAGTGGCATCCTACCGCAGATTTGGGGCTTAGAGCCTCGCACTTCAGAAGTCGAGGTGAAGCGTGCATGACGTGAACGCGTGTTAAGCGTGCTGCTCCAGGGTGGTTGGTTTGGGAAGATGGTAAATGTGCCCATCCCTAGTTGGGAATGCTACAAAGCCCACTTGACTACATGCTTCGGGATGGTTTAAACCACCAGCCAGCCATCACAAGAAAACAGTCTTCCCTGAATTAGCCGTGCTTTCTGCAAGAATCGAAAGCAGGTCTATGGAACATGTTCTACGGGCCAAATGGGGACGCACGTGCTTTGGAGGGGCCCTGGGCCGGGCGGTTCTCACCCCATCGCCGCAGGCCATGCTCATCGCTCCGAGTAAGCAGACGACCGTTTGCAGCGCCGTGGAGTGAGTGCGCCGGGACCGAAGTGACCCGTCGTGAGCCGCTCGTGGTCGGCATCAAGGATTGGTAACAGCACCGATGTGAGGTAGCAGCTACGAGCAGACATAGCATTCATGAAGGCTTATACTATATGCATATATATATATAACATTATATATATATATATTATATTGTGAACTTCCGCCCTTATATCTATTTGTCAAACGTTTAAGTTGTAGTGCTTTGCATCTTCACTTGATTGCAATCTTGGTGGTGCTGACCCCCGCGCAGTTTCCCTCGACTCTTCGCAGATCTTCGCTGCTCGGAATTCGCCGCAACGGGCCCCGCCACGGCGCGTACATGTGCCAGGGGCTTGTGGTTCCCAGGGGGTGGGGTGGAGCCCTTGGTTAGGGCGAATTCAACGCATGTTTTTTTTTTCAGCATGGAAACAACGGATTAGCAAACCCTGCCTGCAGGTCTAGAAGGTTTGTCAAAGAGAGAATTTGCATTCTGCATCCTCCTGCAGCATGTTCCTGAAGTCACTGTTTGTTTCTTGGTTTCTTCTATCCATTTGTATCCGCCGCTACTTTCCTGCTATCAATAATTCCGGCTTTTGGTTGCCACGACTACCGCTAGAAGTCACTAGGCCCAGCACGAGGCCCAGAGTACACCTTTTGTTTCAATTTTGTTTGCCCAGTCCTATCCCTGTATCATCCTTTGTTATGCTCTTCTCGGCATACGGGCATCCCCCGCCCCCTTGGGGGAGTCAACTGCGTGAAATCGGAGCCTGAGTTTCACTTCATCCCCGATGAGACTCGACCAGTTGTGATCGTTCGCACTGAAACGGGACACAAGCAAATCACATAGAAACCTACCATCACCAACCATTAGGAAGGACATCAGAATGAGAGAGAGAGAGAGAAAGAGAGATCTTTTTGATCCTTTTTGATGCTTATTGTATCCCCCTTGCTTTTCGAGTCCCGACCTAGGCCGTTGGCAAACAGTGGAGCTTCCGAATCGATGCGTGCTGTCTTTTTGTAGCATTGTGCGCTACAAGGGGCGCTACCGACTGCCATGCACCGGTCTCCGAAGATACCATACGCACCCATTCATATACATGATCATACATGCATGCATACATACATACATGCATACATCCATACATGCATACATACATACATACATACATACATACATACATACATACATACAT